CCCAATTCCTCCCTTCGCACAGCCAGCGCTATGCGTTTTGCACCCTCCAGGCCCAATCTGATCCCGCACAAGAGTGGCACTATGCCTCACTATGCTCAACGACTACCGTTTTCGCGGCTGCAACTGTGTTTAGCAATCTCCAGCCGCAATCCCGCAAAGCAGGAGCGTTGCAGACCCCCGTTTTTAATCATTTTAAAATGCAAATTGAGCTCAAGCTACAGTCTCGTGCACTTTTCGTCGGCTACTTGTTGATGTGGCTGACATGATGATGTGGTTGACCTGATGGTTGACACGACCTGGATCCCTCCGCGCAAACTCCTATCAGTGGCTTTAAATATATTTAATTAATGTCGATACCTCTTGCCTGTGGTCATCATGGCAGCTGGTTTCTAGTTTGCATGCCGGTCGGTCGGGCAAAGTCCAAAGTTTGAAATCATGCTCATGGAATCTCATCGAAGTGTCTCAGAACCAACCGCAGTCACCCAGCCAGCGTGGAGGTCCTTCTGCTCCTCTCTCCAATAGGCCCAAACTTGGCCGTTGCATTGCCATGCCTCGCCAAGCTTGTAAACGTCACTCTTGGAAATTTCCCGACGATCACCATCATGGCCAACAAACTCCTTGCCTTCGAACTTCCCTTCAAACGCTCGGGTCCTGACTTGCCCACACCCTGCAGGCAAACCGGCTTCGCACACATAGATTAGCAGAATAAATGGGGTCCGAAAGAACAAAAATCTACAAAGTAATCTGAGTTGAATAGCGAGTTTCGAATCCAACTGGATCAGATATGAGCCACCAAATCGTGGAAGCCCGCCTGCCACGCCACCTCCAACTCTCACGACTTTGTGATCCCAGTCATTTGGAATCAAGCCTTCGTCCGCATCGTCTAACACAACATAGCTTTTCCTTGCCAGAACAAAAGACAAGCTTTGCTTTTTCCGACCCCTTGGTCGCAACTGCAACAAGCCAATGGAATACCGCACAAGAGGATTGCGCTGCATCGTAGAATGTTGGAATTATCTTATAATATGATTTTGGTGCGCCACTCTTTGTGCAAAACTTGCGCCTACCTTGCCCGATCGCATCCAGATTTCAACTATTTCTTGGGTGTCTTTTCGAGCGGGAATTTTTGTGCGCCATTGGCCTGCTCGCTCCCCACAGGATACTGCTGACTCATCATCTCAAAAATTATTCGCTTGCAATATCCCTACTTTAGACATCTTCCCATGTTCCGTCTACAACAGCTTGTAAGCAAGAAGGTCCGGAAAAGGAAGGGGTTGCGCTAAGCCGTTAAGCTTGTCCCAGAAGATTTCATTTCCCACTGCCTGGCCTAGTTTGACACAACAATGCAATGCATCTGTGCTACAACTTTCTTCAACGTACCAACGTATCTAGCATACATTCTTGTTTGATGTTTTTCGAGCGCTGCTCCACATGTGCAAAATATTGCAAAATTATCGCTTGAAATCCGAAACAGCAATATCATCGCCGGTTGCCAAATATATCTCCGTTTTCATTGTCTTTCGCTGTTTCCACATTTTCGGATCTTGTTTTATTTTTCCCCCGTTTTGTCCGGCCCGTGCAAAACCGGCAAAATGCAAAAGCAGTACCAATATTGCCCGGAGGCAGAAAAATCGTCGCCAGCAATAATTTCTGAAAACATCGGTGCTAGTGAAGTGCTAGTGGTATATTGGGCCATGGTCTTCTGCTGGGTTGGGCCCGTTGGGCCCGTTGGGCCCGTCAGGCCCGTCGGGCCCGTCAGGCCCGTCGGACCCGTTGGGGCCCGACGGGCCCATTGGGCCCGACGACAATTTGGGGCAGCATGAGGTTCTTGGAAGGGGATCTTGTAGGGATCCTGTCGAGATCCTCGAAGATTCCTGATTTTGTAGAAGTCCTTGCGAGGAGATCTTGTGGATATCCTAGTGCAATCCTTTGTTGTAGAGGTGTTTGTGAGGAGATCTTGCGCACATCCTGCTGGAATCCTCTAAAAGATATTTGCGCGAAGATCTAGAAGGTGCTTGTATGAAAGTTTGCAAGGGAAGCCTTCAAGAGGTTCTTGTACAAAGATCTTGTCAGATCCCCTCTATCAGGTCCTTCTTTGACGACTGTGTGAAATTCTCATTGAGGTCCTGGCTTGAGGTCCTGGAATTTTTTTCACAGATGTTTTCCTCAACGCTGTTAGGGCCTTTTTGCCGGGGATGATTGTCTCTATTTTATGTTTGAAAAGGTAGGGAGCCGTGCAGCGTTTGACAAGTCGGGTGGGCGGCCGCCGTTGTATTTGGGTCGGACATGTCAAGCAGATAGACGCAGATATGCATATTTGTTTTTTGTTTTTGAAGGGGTGCCAATCAGATATGTTAGCGACCACATTCTTTATCCCTGCGTGATAGAAGGAAAAATCATCATGTAAGTTCCAAAGGCACCATCACCTCTCATCATGGTCACAAAAGGATGAAGCGAAGCACGGGATTTTTTTTTGTGGCCGCTGTCTAGGAAAGAATCACAGAATCTGCAAACGGCACCGCTTGACAAATCATACCCCGAGTGGATCCGAAGGATTTTGTTTCACCGGTTGGTAGTCAACAGCTGGTGCCGAACTAATCAACATCTGGTGGAATAATATCTGTAACCAAATGAAGAACAGAAAGCATGTGCATTAGCCATGGATGACTGAAGCAGGAAAGCGACGAAAATTGGAAACATGATCCCAATGGCGTGCTGGAATCATACATTTTTTCATCTACAACCAGATGTAATTAGGTATAAGATATACATAAAGAACAATCACTCAATAAATAAATATTTATGTGTGTATACGCATTAGAAAGATACAAGGTGCATACATATATGTATATACACATATGTTGAAATACGGCTAATGCCTGGGTTTTGCCTGGCAGGGCAACAACGATGGGCAACGAACCGTCGTCATCATCATCATCATCATCATCATCCCTTGTTGATCTTTCCAGTCGAAAGCAAAAGCAAACGAGAGTGGGATTTTTTATATTCCTAATACCTGTTGTGATCTTCCCACTTGAATCTAAAAGTTCAAGCAGGGTGGGCAATTATGTTTCTAAGGGAGCTTTTATTCTAAATACCTATCGGTGATCTTCCCAATTGAATGTAAAATTCACAGGCGGGGAACTTATATGCCAAATAATTACCCTTGTTGATTTGCCTGCTTGAATGTAAAGTTGAACAGAGATGTGATTCTAAATTCCTTATGCCTTTGTTGATTTTCCACATTGAATATTAAGTTAGCCGGGGGTGGGAATCTATATTCCCAGTACCGTTGTTGATCTTCCCAATTGAATGTAAAGTGTAACGCCAGCACCAGAAGGGATGATGGGTTCATTCAGCGCCACGGTCTCTCGAGCCCGTCGGGCCCGTTGGGCCCGTCGGGCCCGTTGAGCCCGTGAAGCAGGCCCGTTGGGGCCCGTTGGAGCCCGTTGGGCCCGTCGGGCCCGTCGGGCCCGTTGAGCCCGAACCTAGGAAAGGACTATTCTCAGCAGTACCAATATTGCCCGGAGGCAGAAAAATCGTCGCCAGCAATAATTTCTGAAAACATCGGTGCTAGTGAAGTGCTAGTGGTATATTGAAATGTAAACTCCGGACTTTAGAACGATCCCCACTTAATGTGATTATCCTGTTACTTAGCTCACCCTTTGTCCTACTGTTCAATGCTGTTCCAAAATCCTGTCATATTCATTGAAATCGTATGTGGGAACCGCGGCGAAGAAATCAACTGATGAAAGCGCAGCGTCATAGTGCCAACTGCCATCACCGTGCCCAAACTGGCAGTTGTGGCGTCTGCCGTCCAATATGCCCACACTTGGTCACTACATTTCCATGCCTCTCCAAGCTTGTACGTCCCTTTCGGATCAGTGATGCGGGTGCCCTCGTGCGTAATGAACCCTTCACTTCCACCATGCCCTTCACAGGCGCTTTTCCTCACAGCATTTTTGCAAAAACGAACCACAAAGAAATCCTCACAACCACAGAGAAGGTCTGATAAGTGTGCCTCTGCCCTGGTCTGATTAAATGCCTTTGCCCAGTAACAACCCTCCCAAATGTAGAATCGGGTTTAAACTTTACACAGAAGAGTGCGTTCAAACATGTTGCCACTAACATTGATATCATATTCCTATCATAGAGCGTGTGGAAGGCCAGCAGCGCTCACAATATTGATAGGGATCCCATCAACCAACAGTAGCCAACACATTGTTTTTACTGGCACACCTTTGACATAAGCAGGCCAAATCTCTTACCACACTGGATGAACATGGAGCCGCCAAAACGAGCCCTGCGGGTAGGTTTTGGACTTGTCAATTCTGCAGCCAACACCATCAAATTGTTCCGGTCAGCTTCAGGCAATCCATCCAACGCCTCTCTCACCTGCTCACTTACGTTCTGCATCGTTCTGCCCTCTTCCTACGGCCCATCCCGTTCCATTTGCCATTACGCAATTTTTTTGAACCTTGCTAAGAAAGTGCAGGTGGCTACTCCTGATTCCCTTGGCTGACTTCACGCCTCTTCGGCTGAAACATCTTTGATTTCCTTTTGGACAATGCTGGCAGCGCCGCCCATTGCGGGGCAATAAGTGCAAGCAATTTTTTTCAACAGAAGAGGATTGGCACCATGCGTGCCTGGAAGAAACACACAAATTACTTCAAATTACACTGAAAGAAGTCAAAGAGGACGGGTGTCCTGTTCGCGTATCACTTCATGGTGGTATTCCTCCGTTTTGCATTGTCTTGTTGTTGCGTCAGCTCCCAACCATTTGGCTCCACAAAGCTGCGGCAAAAACCATTGAATCTTCTTGCATCACGGCACAGCCATTGTGCCAACAGAATTTGACCAAAACCGAAACATCATCCACCATCAGAAATCATGAACTGGAAGGCGCTCATGAAACAAAACATGTTCTCCAGTGCAAACTGTGCATTTGGAACATCCAAGGTGTTTTGCCAATATTCCGGCGGTTGCTTCGCACAATGCTTGCCAATGGTTTCCGCTAGGGCACGTGAACGGGTCACTCTTTAGCCTCGGGTATGATGCCTACGCCAGACATTTGGACAATGCAAGAAACCGGCGGGTGTGCAGAAATCATCATAAGCGCATTTTCATGCAAAATGATTTGGCAACAAACTTATTAAGTTTAGTTGCCAACCCGCTGTGAGCGAACATGTGCACATTGAAGCATACAATTTCATAGCCATGGATTCATGATTGTCTCTGGTGGACCAAGGGCGGGCAAGAAAATAGAGAAGTCAGTTTTCACCCTCCGAAGAAGAGATGCAAAGCATACAGCCAACTGGATTCAAAACAAATCGGGTAGGCAGTCAGAAAATAACCACTTTGGATCTTTCGCTCACTTTACTTTTTACTTAACCGGACGACCTCCCAGGATGCCACAGGAATCCAAACTAATCCTATCAAGAAAAAACGCGATCGTTTCGAAGGAAAAAAAAACGCATTGTCACCATGCAAAAACAATTAGCGAGATAAATTTTCTTGCGCACAACAAGGCCCTCTTGGGTCGTCACCGAGGAAAGTAAACTACATGATTACTTGTGTACCCGACCTGCCTACATATATTCCGAAACGGGTTCTGGCATGACGATGTATGTAATACAATTTTCTGCCATACAATACTGCCTTTTTCTTGCGCCCTTTGCAACTGCCAAAAAAACGGTCTTTTGAAGGGATGTAAGCATCCCCCTGCCATTTAAGGTGTTGGAGGTGGAACCAACCATTTAGTGGATCCGACATTTTTCTCTAGAAAATGCCGGGCCGGGGGCCTAGAAACTCTGTCTACTAAATAAGGGCCATGGATAGGCCTCTTCACTACAAAATGACCACTTAAAAGATGTTTAAACAGGGAGGGATATGGTTCTTGATTGTTTTCATCAAAGTGATTTTCAAAGTTGTGTTTGCCATCGTCTAGTACCCAATGCCCTGATGGGGCTTCAGCAGTGTAACAATTCCAAAACCGATTTATGATATCAATTTCAAGATCGTCATTTTGCAGCGAACCCAAAATGCACCAAGACCCCACGTTGAACGGAACAAAACCACAGAAAAGGGATTGCTGCATTGATCCCGTCTCAAAATCATTAATTAAGGCACGAGTTATCGACTTATCATATTGTTGTGTGTGTTTTTCGGGGAAGGAACCACACGATCGGCCTCAAGAACCCAAACACTTTTGAGCGTTTTCGCTCGTAAGTGGTATATTGGAAAAGAAACCCACCCACCAAAAAAAAAAACGAGAACCACCCATTCTGTAGGTGTTTGGAAGGAAACCTGTCATTTTGTAAGGGCATGATGGAGGACGGAGGAATAGAAACACAACACTCAGTATTGTGTTTAGCTCAAATTTTATTTTTGTACATATCGTGACATATCTTCAACTATACTTATGTAAATTATGCAAAGGTAAAAACAAAATGCCAACCCATATGTTCGCTGCTTCGACGGGAGTCTCCCACTTTGTAGCGGCATGAAAGGGGGAGCAGAAAAACAGTATTGCTCGCAAATATCCTGACATTATCCTGCGCAATCTTGAGCTAGACCTTTGGAAGCATGTGAAGCAAAGAAATAAGCACGGCAAATCATCTTGTAGAATTTCGAAGAGGACCTTAATTTGTGGGGGCATGAAGTGGAAGAAAGCAGTTTTGTTATAAATGCGCGTAATGTTTCTCAATTGCCTTGAACAATTTTGACTTATATTTACTATACCACAAAATGCGTTTGGGGGGCGAAGCAATGAGGCACTATTCATGCCTCTGCACGTCACAACGAGGACCAATGCATATGGTTCTCCCATAGATGTACAAGAACGAAAGTGTCCCATATGAGAGATTTTTTCCTTCCCTTCTTTCATGATGACCCCCCGCGGAATCATCTGTACGGTTCAAAATCTATATATTTGTTGCGCAAAAAAACGCGGTTGTAATGTTCTGTTTGCTGCATGAGTCGACAATTGCCTGATTTTGCCATTTTGTGGTCTCATTTTTGGTACCGCCATAATGTTGGATGGACAATAGTAAAGCGCGTGCAATAGCTACAAATAATTTTCAGAATCTGATTTTTCAGCCCCTATTGATTTTAAATTAGGCCTTATTGATTTTAAATTACAGACATCAATCTTGGTCCAAAACATCTGCAATAATTATGCTGCATTCGCAATAGCTGCAAATAATTTTCAGAAAAATCCCAAATTATTAGATTTTTCCAATATTAAATTGTACAAGGGCTAATTGGGATTTAGTATGGATGCAGGAAAAAACTCAGAACCAGTTACAGTTCAGCTGTATTTTGTCCCTTCTTCCTTAGTGCTTTTAATTGTGGTTAAATGGTTTTAATTTGTGATTGCATGCTTTTCAAAGGGAAAAAACAAAGCAGACCTTTACCCAATCAAAAACTTTACCTTGTTCAAAAGAGCCGTTTTCTTTATTAAAATTTTGTTAAAAAAATGCAAAAAAACAGGTCCACAAAGGGTACCCCCTTGCAGGCCCTTGCGTTTGCAATTAATAATTTGAATTAGCACTTGCAATAAAAAAAACGACACCTTTCTGGTTCTAGTTGATTTTGTCCCTTCTTCCTTACTGTTTTTAATTGTGGTTAAATTGTTTTAATTTGTGATTGCATGCTTTTCAAAGGGAAAAACAAAGCAAACCTTTACCCAATCAAAAACTTTACCTTGTTCAAAAGAGCCGTTTTCTTTATTAAAATTTTGTTAAAAAATTGAAAAAAACAGGTCCACAAAGGGTATCCCCTTGCAGGCCCTTGCGTTTGCAATTAATAATTTGAATTAGCACTTGCAATAAAAAAACGACACCTTTCTGGTTCTAGTTGATTTTGTCCCTTCTTCCTTACTGTTTTTAATTGTGGTTAAATTGTTTTAATTTGTGATTGCATGCTTTTCAAAGGGAAAAAACAAAGCAAACCTTTACCCAATCAAAAACTTTACCTTGTTCAAAAGAGCCGTTTTCTTTATTAAAATTCTGTTAAAAAATTGCAAAAAACAGGTCCACAAAGGGTACCCCCTTGCAGGCCCTTGCATTTGCAATTAAACATTTGAATTAGCACGTGCAATAAAAAAACAAATTTTCTGGCTCTAGCTGTATTTTTCCCTTCTTCCTTAATGTGTTTAACTGTGGCTGAATGGTTTTAAATTGTGATTCTCACCAAAGCCTATCAGAAAACAAAGGTTCTCAATCAGAATCCAATGAAGATCCCATCAGAACCTATCAGAAAAGAGGGGATTTGTCAAAACCTTACAGAAGCCTTGGGGAAGAGTTGAAATTTTCGATTTACTATTGCAAAGCAGCCCCCCCCCCCGGAAAAAAAAAAATAGGGGTGGGCCTTTACTATTGTCGATGTAAAAATATTCGTTGCTGCTTGAGCCCAGTTGAAATTAATTTCATCGTTTTTCGTTTCGTGTGGCGGCTTGCTTGTTTGCTGCTGGTAGAATGCCCGTCAGCCTTTTGCAGCGTTGGGTGGTTGCTCGATGTGTTACTTGCTGTTGCGGAATTTTTGTGTTTTCGCGCGAGTGGCCGGTTTCCATGTGCATGATTGTATTGGATATTTTGCCGCCCCTTGAGGACCCCCCATTGCCCTTTTAGACTCCCACCGACTGTTTCAGCCCGGAAACAACAAAAACCATGATTTTTGCAGTCACCCCTGTTATCATTAATCAATATTAATTAATCGTATAAGTTTAAAACGGGATGGAATAGGAACCTGCTTCGAGAAAGATGTGGGAACGTTAATTTTTGAAGGTTTCTTACACCGTCGTCGTTTGGATACTGTGTCCGTTACATTGTGTTTGAATGAAAGCATGGCGGGGTAGCGGAGTAGCGCAAAGTAGCGGAGTAGCACGGAGTAGCGCAGGATTGGTGAATTATGTTGCGTGGGTGGTGCTGCATCGCAAACGCCACATTGGAGCCAATGAACGGGGACAGTTGATACCACATGTGCGCTGCGAGGTTCCATTTTTAGAGCCGGAAAATCCATCGTCGTCAGGTTTCATATACGCGGGCCTCTTCTGTAGTGTGACTGGTCGTCAGGGAAAAAGGGAATGAATTGCTTGCGATTACTGATCGACAATCGGTCTTTATATAGCATGTACTCAAACATACGGGAAAAGAATCACAAAGCACACACACCCGAAGCTTCAAAACGTACAACAGTTTTAGTGACAAACGAGAAACAGGATCATAGTCAAGTTCGCAAACTGTTAAATTCCGATCCCCGTGGTGGAGATGGAGAAGAGATTTCAGGAAACAGTCTTTGGAGACAAGCCTGAAGGAAGTTTCGGCCAAAAAGGCGCAAATGAGAGGCAGGCGGAAAAGCTGGCCACAGGCTGGAGGCTATATCGTCCCCAGAAGTTTCTAGAAGTCAGCCTATTAATGAATCACTTTCAATGAAGGCAAAAATAATAGCAGTCACAATGGCACTGCCGCAGGAAAAAAAACTAGAGGCCGGCTCAAGCAGTCAGAAGGCGAAGGTGGCAATGGAGGCGAAGGCAAAGCAAAGGGCTACAGGGCAGGAGGTGCGGTTGCCATGGCGAGCTCAGCACGTCGGCGCAAAACTGCTTGGGCCCGGACAATTCGAGCAG